CCCTTATTCGACGTTTCACTTTCTTCCGTTACCCGCAGTCAACTGCGGTTCGAAAATATTAAATGAAAAATGAAATAAACAATTCATTCTGAGTAGTATCATGAAAACTCCAACTGTCCTGCTCCGTTCCGCCTGGAACATGAACTTCTCTTTGTCCAGCACATCCACACTGGACAACGGTACAATAAAGTTATTTCGAGAGAGACCACACACACATAACTTTTATTAGAGCATACACTTGACCCTTGAACAATGCGGAAGTTAAGGATGCTGACCACCACACCTCAGGCAGTTGAAAATCCACGTATAACTTTTGACTCCCCAAAACATAACTACAGTTGTACTTTGGTATCTGAAGAGGACTGGTTCCAGGACATCCCTCGATACCAAAAATCTGTGGATGCTTAAGTCCCTTATATAAACATGTGTAGAAGAATGCATACAGTTGGCCCCCTGCATCCTTGAATCCCCAACTGAGGATCAGAAAATACTGCTTTTGATCCGTGCTTGGTTCAATCTGCAGATATGAAACCCAGGGATAAGAAGGGCTGTGTATCTATTGAAAAAAGTCTGTATTAAGTGGACCTTCGCAGTTCAAACCCATGTTGTTTAAGAGTCACATGTATTGTTTAATGGTTCTATTTTATTATTCATCTCTTTGCCTATTTTATAAATTAAACTTATCATAGGTATGGATGCAGGAAAAAACAGTATATCTAGGGTTCGGCCTATCTACTTTCAAGCATCCACCAGAGGTCTTGAATTGTATCCCCTGTGGAAAAAGGGGACCACTGTACAATGTTTAAATCTGTTCTACTACATTCCAACCAAGTGGCTGTCCAGTCTTAGCTTAACAGGGTAGTGCTTCCAACATCCTGGTTAGGTTATTCTTTAGATTGAATCAGAGTCTCTCTCTGAAGCTTCCCATAAGAAGCATTCATTCTATACTCTGGAACGGCTATGCTTACTATTGAACAGTTAATATGATTTTGGACAAATTTACTTACCTCTTCAAAACTGTTTCCTCATCTGAAAATAGATGAGTATTGATCCCACAGCATTAGGATGAAATAGATGAAGTGTTTAACATGGTATGCATTCTCTAAATGTCAGTTGTTATCACTATTATTCTACCAATTGAGTCTTATTTGACACTACATTGTATTTTTCTCCTGCTCTAAAATGGGTGAAGACTCTGGGCATTCAACTATGTAAAATTTAGGGCTTTTTGTTTGTTTTGTAAGCAGGCACAAACCTGACCTTAAGCATGAGTATTTAACAGCTCCCCGCTCTCCACTCCTGCAACATCACTTTGTCAAACTGGTATGTCTGCCACACGGTGTTTTTATATGCTGGCAAATACAAGGAAAAAGAATTCTATTTTGTGCTAACATGAATCTGAATCACTCTGCCAGGGGCCATCAGAAGTTAGTCACTTAGCTGGTAAGCTTACTCAATGGCCCAACCTCTGCATCTCAACTGTAATATTTATAAATTTGGGAATTCCTTGAAGTCTCTTTAGATTTCTCCCATTTATATTATTTTGTGGCTAGCACTTCATTAGTCTAAACCACATACCACTATCCCTCACCATCATTACTCAGTCCATTCCAGATATTTAAATCATTCGTAACTGTTATTTTTTTCTTCTCTGTATCTTACAAATCATATCCAAGGTGTATAGATTCAAATTTTGAAAATATCCAAATTTTCTAATAAGCAAATATATTTTGCTACATATTTGTTCTAGACAGCATGTGAACTAGTGGGGGAAAATGTACTTATATCAATGTGACATTAAAAAAAGATGGGTCAAAACCACTACTTACTTGATGCTTCAACTGCAGTTCACATTTCTTCTCTGATTAGTAGCTTGGGCAGCACTGATCTTGGGCCACACCTTTGGGATTGGATCAGCCCATTCCAAGGGAGTGCTACCTAGAGGACTCTAGTCTGGTGTAGGCCCAGAGATTTGAGAATCATTTCTCTACTGAAAGCTGCTCTTTATCTGATCCTGAGCCTGCATCTCTTAGCAAGTTTGTACATCCGTTAGAGGCAGAGTGGCATGGTAAGACTACAGGCTCTGGAGCCTGTCTGAATTTGAATCTTGGCTCTCCCAGTTTTAGTTATATGGCCTGCATGCCTCAGTTTCCTCCTGTGTAATAGAGATAATTAGTACCAAACTCATAGGATTTGAATGAGTTAATACTTTGAAGAGTTTAGGATTAAATAATTTAGACCAAGGCCTGACATACAAAGCAACCAATAAATGAAAGCAATTTTTGATTATCTTTAAATGTTTTAATTTTAAATTTAATTTCTTAAAAAAATGAAATGTTACATTCGCTTCTTAATGAGATTCAGCTCTCTCAACTTAATTCCAAAAATGTTTCGGGGATTAGCTTTAGCTCCACCTGGTGGTTTTACATCAATTCCCTGGAAAACATCAATCTAACAAGGATGACGGAATTTTTTAAAATAAGTTATTCATTTAAAGGACTCTGCAATACTTTTTAATTTATAATCTCTAGGAATAGAGCAACAAAAAGTAATCATACCCCTGCGTTCATTTTGGAATGCCAGTCTAAATTTCCCACCAAAATTTGGAGATGAGAAGAACCTTGCTTGCAGTGCAGTACACAAACTGAGAGACTTAGAGGACCCAATCACGACCTAGTGCAAGACAAGCTCTCTTCAAGCCACTTTTCCAGAAGCCATAGGACACTTGAGAACATGTTTCCCAAGTAAGTTTTTTGACAGCAGTGTTTTTATTTTTATTTTTTTAAGTTAAATCCTGACCGAACCAACTTAAGTGAATATATCAATAATCATTGGGAGGCCCTAAATGAAAGCTCAAAGCTACTACCACTGGAGTCGAATTAGAGGTTACCAGCAACAGAAAATATGAACATACTCCTGGCATTGGTCTCTGACCTCAACTTAAAGAAAATCCAGCTAAAAAATACCTGACGATGCTGCCAAAATTTAAATAAACATCAAGTGTATAACATCACTGGTGTAGACAATACCTGTTTAAAGAAAAAAAAAGGTAACAAGTTTGGCTAGTATATTTAGGCTGATATTGTCAGTGCCTTAACTGGACAAGGTGAGCAACTTATTTCGTGAATAAACATTTATATATTTACTTTTCCTGATAAAGTATTTGTTCATAACACCACCAAAAGGCAAAAAGGGCCATGGATAACATTTATTTTCCAAATCATATCTTTTATTAGCTTCTTTGAGAAAACTTATTTTAAGTATTTAAAAATTAGCCACTAAAAGAAACAAGAATGCAACATGAACATGGGAAAGCAAAAGAAAACAAGAATGTATGAGAACATGAAGCAAATGCTTAGTCTCAGAGATCAGAACTTTAAAGGATAGATTAAAACCTAAAAACAAAGAAAAGCTCCCAGTACACTCAAAGAAAGAGAAGTCCCCCAACACTCTTCTTATTTTCCCAATATAACACACAGCTCGGCCTACCTTACCACATCCTGGTTGATACCAATTTTAACAACTTTCTATTAAAGCCAAACTGGACTTAGTGCAGTCAACAATGGACTGTCTGTATGCCAAGTGTATTCCTTGTATAACTGTGTTGTGTAATGGCTGAAGTTGAGAAACTGGGGCAGAAGTATCGAGTGGTTCTAATGATTGCCAAGGATCCAAGATTTGAATGATTACCATGCACAAAGGATCCTATGCAGATGACTGCTTAGTATTGACAGTAACTCAGCATTAAGTGTTATACTGTGGCCACCATTGACCAGGACCTCAAAGGAAGAATCAGGAAGATCCTGGAGTTCCCATAATACCCATTCCTAACCATAGGTACAACACTGAGTGGATGCCAGATGATAATGTAGCCCCTTGGTTCTAATTCCTAAAAGACAAAGTTAAAGTTCCTCTGCTTTCCTTCAACCGACTTTCTGTGGCCAGTTTATTAAACGTGGTACAGCATGAATTATTCCATTCACCCATTTTCTCTATCATGAGGTGAGTATGGTTACTTTTTGATATTTTAAAAATATTTTTGTAACATTTTAAAATTTGTTGAATCTTTTTATAAATCAGATGACTGCTCACACACACACACACACACAAATTAACCACTAACTTTTCAGTTAACTAACCAAGTAAATTGAAAAAAGGCTTACGTAAAATAATTTAAAGATTTTACTGGCATTAAGTTTTATAGATTCAAAACTCCTAAAAGATTTAGGTCATGTCCTATTTATCTCTATGTTCCAGACTAGCAGTGTGCCTGGCACAAAACTTGTGTCCTGATAACTAAGTGACCTTATTCTAATAGATCTCAGTTTTAACTTGGTTTTTCCCTGAAGTTAACAGCCTCGTTTTAATAGACGCCCATAAGGGCTGACAGCTTGACTTGTTCTGTGTTCCTAGTACCTGGAAAAGTCCCTGGCATACAGTAGACACTCAATAAATGTTTGTTGTTCAGTGAACATATAATGATGGCTAATATAATTACAGTGAAATTTCAGAGTGAACACTAAATTTAAATTACTTAAAAGTAAACATAAGAGTGAAATTAGTAAACCGTAGCAAGACAGATTTAACAAAAATCCTTTCACTATATCAGCATTTCCAACAGTATAGTCTATTCCTCAGAACACTAGTTTCAGAGTCAAAGTTGAAGAGGTTTCTTTATTGCTTGATCTCTAGGAAACTATACTAAGCTAATACTTTTTGTGAATCTTCAAGTCTGTAGCATCCTCCAAATTGAGGCGACCACAAAATGTATTTTCACCATGCGCCTAAAAAAACTGATTGAGGATCTTACTCTGTGAAATGTTGCATTAGCTACATAATATAAAAACTGACATTTACCCAGTTCCCATGATGTTCTAACCTCCTTAAGATGGAGTGTATAAATTTGTACATATTAATATTCTACCTAAAAATTTAAAAGAATATGGTCTTCTCTACTACTAGAAAATCTTAAGGATATATGAAAGAAAAGATGTTCAAGATCTAGACAAAGTACCTTTTATTCTATTTATACAAATTCGAAATTCCAAACATGCAGCTTATAAGATCCACTGATCTTATATTTTAAAATAACATAAGTTTTCTTTAAATCTGAGTTAGCTTGAATTTGACAATATAATTTCTCTTTATGAAGACCAATCACATTAACATCTGATAGAATTTTGATGTCTGATAATCCTTGCATATTGGATAGCATCCAATTAAAATATCAGTATAGCTTTCTTTCATGGAAGAAAATATTTTATTCAAGTTCCCAAAATAAATTTGAGGAGTTATGCTGGGTTTGAATTGAAGAAAAAGGCCAAACTGAAATATGAAAACAAAGTTTTCATTTAGTGGAAGCTGAAATCAGTGTATACATTCTAATCAAAGATCTGTCCCATGTGGCATTTTTCAAGTTTTTAAGAGTCTACCAGGCCAAACCCTTTGCTGCCTTCACTGCTTTTGCTTTGTTCTTCCCTTTCCCTTTCTCTCGCTTTGCCTTCAGCCTTTTCCTTTGCCTCTGATTCATCCATATGGGGTACTGTCCATGCTGGTCTAGAAGACTCTTTTTGTTTCTCTTAATATCGGTCTCCATTTTCATGTCATCTGAATAAAAAATGGAAAAAACTATTAATACTCACAAATGATAACAACCCTGTGAAAAAGCATATTAATGTAATAAGAACATCAGAACTGAAAATGGTCTGAAACTACGAAAGGAAAAAAAAATTCCTTATTTGCAGATTGCTCTAATACTCTGAAAATCCCTTATAACACATTCAGTGGAATCCCACATGTGCTGCCATTTGTTCCTATAACCATGAAAGACATTTGTGAGACCTAGAGACACTATCTATTTAATCACTAAGAAACTTTCTAAAGAATGTTGTCATGATTGTCCTTCTTTGGAATAGCAAAAGTTAAACAGGAAACATTTAGGATGTATGGCTTTGAGTTACTGCATTAGGGGTAAGTATGGTTCTGAGCAAATGTGAGTTACAAGAACATTTCTCAGACTGTGTTTTCTTGAGCTAAATAAGATAGCTGAGCCAATAAGATGTGTATTCACACATCTAATGGACAAGCCTTAGAAGCTGATTAGGGATGACCAGCCACTTCTAACAAAGTGAACTTGCAAGAGGTGTAGAAGTTAAGCAGCAGGCTTGTGATGACAGAGATGGGCAGACAACAGAGAAGAAAGAACTGGATGTACCCTATGGCTACCACACTTTTCTATCCAGATAATACAGAGATCCAGGTCTACTAACAGGAGACTTGGCAGGAAGTTCAGCGCAACCGTGCTGTGGTACATCCATCACCAAACTTATCGATTGTGAAGGACATGCCCAGAATGTCCCTCCCTGGGAACTTATCAGGGTATACAGGGTCTTCTTCCATGATCTCTATTACCTGACATTTTATTAATACATTTATCTGGTGTACTTTCTGTCTCCTCCAATACAATGTAAATCGCATTCAGATGGAGGCCATGTCTCTGATACTCATCATTGTTTCCACAGTAGCTAAAATAGTGACTGGCATATACTAGCCATTCAATAACTAGTTGTTGAATTACCATTTTAGGGCTATTTTAAGTTCTGGGAATATAGTGGTCCAAATGAGCTCTTTGCTCTCATGGAGTATTTATAATGCTCCATTGTGTTGAGGGGTGAATAATAAAGCAAACTTTAGTGTATGGTAAATAACTTTTTAAAGAGAGGTGCCAGAACCAGATTAATAGGACCTGGTAGACTCTAGTAAGCACATGGAAAGACAATGAGGTGCTTTAAGCAGGAAAATGATGTAATTTAATTTATATTCTAAAGATATAATACAGGTTGATAGATTAGAAATGAATCGGAAGGTAACAAGAGCTGAAGAAATAAAAAGGCTACTACCTTGGTTCAAAAAGAGCCAATGGGCATTTAAAGCGAAAGCATAAAAAGCAGGAGAAAAATGGATAAATTATTGATGTATTTTGTAGATACTCAAGATATCTTAATGGTTTAGATGTGGGAGATAAAGAAAAGAGGGATCAAGGATAACTACTGGGGGGGGGAAAGATAACTACTAGATTTGTGGCTTGAGAAATTGGGCTGAAGAAGTAGAAATATGGGGAAACATGAACTTGAGGGCAGAAATGAGGACGCATACTAAAAACCAGTAGATTACTAAATGGGGAGACTCCAGCACCATCAGTTCCACCCTCATTTAGCTCCTGAAATACATCAAAAATGAGGACAGTCAGACATTCCCCCAGGTAGGAGATGAGAGAATTCCTCTCTGAGAATGACAGAAGAGAAAACAAACACCAGTAGGTTCTGAGATAAGAGATGTCCCACAATAAAATCTCCAAGGACCAATCCAATCGTTCTGCAAGTCCAACAGCTGATAAGCCTTCCTCCACACCTTGCTCCCTGCCCACCCAAGCTTCCAACCATCATTTTCATGCCTCACTTTTAAATAACTACTGATCATCAGACATTGGAGAAGTCTCTAACATGAAAGAGAGGGACCAAAACAAACAAAAATAAAAGGAATGGGAGGGAGGACGATAACCCAAGAGCAAAGTAGGCAATGCAGAGCAGATCAAAATTTCTAAAAGAAACTGTAATGAATACTAGCAGTGATATCACAGAAAGTATGTATCCATTAAGAACCACCGCCTACAATAAAGGAATACTATAAAAAAAATTTTGGAAATTAAAAATATAAAGCAAAACTAAACTCAACACAAGAACTAGGAGATAAAGTTGAGGAAATCAGAAAATATAATAAAAGAAACAGAAGACAGGAGAGAAAAGAAAATTAGAGGATAAATCCGAGACTTAAAAGTAAATGGGTTTCTAGTCTCCAGAATATATGACCTTGAGATTGTATACATTAAAAATGTTTTAACTCACTGCAATAAACTTAGTTCTGAAATTAAAAAAAAAAAAACACCTCATACTCAACAACAAAAAGACAATCCAATTAAAAGGGGACAAAGGACTTGAATAGATCTATCTGCAAAGATAATATATAAATCGCCAACAAACCATATGCTCAACAATAATGAAACACCGCTTCACACCCATTAGGATGGGGTAATAATTTTAAAAATAGGAAATAACAAGTACTAATGAGTATGTGAAAGAATTGGAATCCTTGCATATTGCTGGGAAGAATGTAAAATGGTGTGACTAACGTAGAAAACAGTAAACAGTAAACAGATTTATTACATGACCCAGCAATTCCACTCATATATACCCAAAATAACTGAAAACAAAATCTCATACACAAATGTTCACAGCAGCGCTATTCAAAATAACCAGAAGGTCAAAGCAATTCAAATGTCCATCAATCAATGAATGAGTGGATAAACAAACTGTGGTACATACATAAAATGAGCTATTATTAAGCTTTAAAAAGGAAGTACTGATACAAAGTTGTACGTAGATGAACCTCAAAAACATTACACTATGTGAAAAAAGTCAGACACGAAAGTTCATATATATGATTCCACTTATATGAAATATCCAGAATAGGTAAATTCAAAAAGGCAGAAAGCACATTAGTGGTTGCCAGAGGCTAGGGAGAGGGTGATGAGGGAGAGACTGCTTCATGAGTATGAGGTTTCCCTTTAGGGTAATGAAAATGTTTTGGAAATAGAGGCGATGGTTGGACATCATCATCAATGTACTAAATGCTACTGAATTGTACACTTTAAAATGGCAAACTTCATGTTATGTGAATTTTACCTCAATAACGAAAGAGTGAATGGGTGCAAGTAGTGTGCATGTGAGGAAAGAGACAGCAAGTGTTAAGTTGCAAGGAGAGCTGAAATAAAGTGACAGATTGGGAGAAATGTAAGATCAAGGGAAAGATTTTTCTTTTTTTTTTTTTTTGAGATGACACATCCCAGAACACATTCATGCTGCTGTGAATGACCCAGCAGAGAAGACAGACTGATGAGTAAGATGCATGAGTAGTCCTTGAGAATGAAAAATATTCAGAATACACATGAAGAAACATGAGATCATTAACAAGAGGGAAAACAGACTATATATTCAAATTCTTATAGACTTGGATAGTGGGAAGATAAGGGTTTTTCTATAGATTGCCATAATTTTTCAAAGACGGTGAAGTGTAAAGCTTCTTGTAATTTTCATTCATAGGGGGTGGGAGTGGGGTGGAATGGGAAGAGAAGATAAGAAATGATCATTTTGAGGAATGGTAAACTTCTTGGATTGGAAGGTTGAGGAATGCTGCTCTCTTCCTTGACCACTAGACACCACATAAATATACTTCTATTTTAAGAGCCTAGGTACTGTAAGTGCTTAATTTAGTTTGTTGTCAAAGTGGTGTATTAGGGATGTGAAAACCAATAAGTCTTTTCTCATACTGAAACTAGCATTATATATAGCCTCTAACTTTAGACTATGACTAAGACATAGAGGTCCCTAGAATCTATCAAAATCAAATACAAGGAAACTCTGAATTTCAGGATAAGGGTGTAGGACTCTTAGAATGGGAACTATATCTTGCAAAGGGTAAAATGAAGAAAGAGTCCTTTTATCCTGCCTAGTCCTTGACTGAATTATGTACCTTCCAATGAAGGTGTGTACAGGTTTGTCTACTTCTATAGTACTGTCTATTTCTGAGACACTTAGGCTATTGTATAGGCATCAGAGGCCCACTCTGAATATCCCTAAACTGCCTATTCACATGACCTGGTTTTAAAATAGTTTAGCATAGAATCTCTATTCGCACTATAAACTTTCAAAGAATAATGCGGGCATGGCAGGAGGTTTGTAGAGAAGCATGTATGGAAATGACCAAAAGACAGTCAAAATGGGGAAAAGAGTCCCAAAAGGAACCTGATATAATTTTTTTTCTTTAAACGAAGCACATAAACTTACCTTTTTCATCTTTCACCACGCATTGGGTTTTCTCTTCACAATGTCTGGGAACCACCACAGTGGCTATCTCTTGAACATCTTTCATTAAAACATCACTATCTACTTTAAGAATACTTTTAAGTCTGCTAAGCTCCTTTGGGGCATTCTTTTTTCTCTTTTCAGCACGCATCTTCCTTTTCCACTTACTCCGCAAGCTTTTAGCCATATTTTATCTGAAAAGTTAACAAAGATATTCAAAACCAAATGTTTACTATTAAAAAAAAAAAAAAAAGAGAGGGGGGCAAATGCTTGGAAAACCAGATCGGAAGGTATCACTACAAAACATGAACAAATGGAAGGTAAAACTCCCCTCTATGTTCATGATATGATAGCTTCATGTGCAACTCGTGTGAGGATCGACATGGCATAAACGGCTGTTAAGTAATTAAAAACACCAAATCAAACTCCCAGTGGTCACTGGCAAACTGTAAGTGAAGCCAATTCTGAAAGTTTCTGGAGTTTCCATACAAGATGCAGAAATTTAATGTTCCCAAAAATGCAAAGAGCATTATCACCTTACATTTATGCAATAACTAACAAATTACAAAATGCTTTTATAAATATTTTATTCTTGATTTCTCTCAATCCTAAAAGACACCCACCCGTCTTCATTATCCACAAGTCAATTTTGCTATTTTAAACTTGTCTATTTCCACTCTTGCTTTCTCTCCAGCCCTTAGTTCCAGCCCCAAGTCCTCCACAAGGTGGCTACTACGAACTTTTAAAAACTCTGCACATGACTGCCTTTCTTGTAATTCTTTAATGACTTCCCACCTCCTATATTCGAGATCTACAAGGTTGTGACCTGATCCCTCCTGGACTCTCATCTCACCCTCCACCTCACCTCCAAGTGCCAACTACATCTGAAAACAGTCCAATCAATGACATCGTAGGAACAATGTGGGGATGTGATGAGGTGTGGGAAAGAAGGCATTACAGAGATCGTAAAGAGTTTAAGAGGAAACTTGTGGGAGCGATTTATAATACCATCTTGATCGTGCTGGTGGATTTGTTTGTATACACATGTCAAAGCTTATATTACACATTTTAAACACGTGTAGTTTGTTGTATTAGTTACACATGAATAAAGCAGTTATATAAATAACTAATATATAAATCACTAAGACACGACTGGGGAGGGGGGGAGTCCAAACTATGTTCACTTTAATATCTTTACATTTGCTTTCCTATGTCTGAGAACTGCTCTTCTCAAGGCTTGCTCCTTTACTTCAGTATCTCCAAAAGGTCTTCTCTGACCTTGTAAGAGCCCCTCTTCTTTTTCTCCATCGTATTATCCTTTTCATTCCTTTTAATACATGTTGCAGTCTGAAATTATTTATTTTCTGTCATCCCCAGTGGACTGTGACCTCCACATGGCCGGAGCTTAAACAGGTCTTGTTCACCGTTAGATCTCCCAATACACAGCTCTTTGCACATAGTAAAGGTTAAATAAAAATTTGTTGAATCAATGACTAGTGGAGTGATATTTTAGGGGACGCCAGCAATCACAAACTTACTCCGTTCCGTTTGCAACAACTCAAGCTCTGCAAGCGGCGGGGACAGAAGGAGTGCAGTAAACAACCGTGAAGGCCGAGGTTAACCTGAGAGAGTCCGAACGACAAAGGATTCCAATTCCCACAGAGCACCAAGAAGCCCGAAGGCCGCCACTAAGACCATGAGACACCCTCGCTCCTGAGGGACGCTTTCGTCTCTGGGCCGGGCTTAACCTTGCCAAGAAAAGGATAAGGCTTGAGACAAAACTGTCTACGAGAAGCAGAATTGAGCCCGAAGTCCTAGGCTTTACCGAACACAAGAAGTACCAAACTCACCTGAAAAAGATCACACACTCTCAGTCCGAACACTCACGGCGACCGGAAATTCTCGCACTTCCGCCTTCCCGGCAGCCCTCTCCACTACTCCGCCTCCCCGGGAGGCGCGCGTTGCACGCCGGGACCCAAAAGTGTCACGGAAACCCTCGAGAGGCTGGGTCTTCTGGAGTTGGGCGGTGACGCGCTTCCTGCCTTGGGTGTGAGTGCGGACCTTGGAGCTTGGCTCCTCCAGACAGGTTCCGAAGTTGGGTTTGGAGAAGGCGGAAGAAAATCCCGGTCGAGGTTGGGGCGCCAGCTAGGCCTGCTTCTCGAGCGCGGCCGGAGTAGCCCTTAGATTTTAACCCAGGAGTGAACCTGGCAGGGACCCTATCAGGTAAGGAGCTCGGAGCCGACCTTTAGCTCTCACTTTCACGCAGTACTAATGGATTTCCTTTGACTGAATCATCTTATGGCCGAATTGAGATCATCTTTATTTCCAGCCCTTAAGTTTTCCTATCCCAGGTGATGGTCTCACAGATGTACACATCTGTCAAAACTTATTAAATTGTACACTTTAATAAAGTATGTGCAACTTACTGAATGTAAGTTATACCTCAAAGCTCTTACCCCAGACAAGCCTTTCCCATCCCAAAGACAAGTTCAAAAGATAAAATGATCAAACTAATTCAGTTCAACCAATGTTTACCTGGTTAATTACTTAATCTGTGCCATACACAATGCTAAGCCTAGGACAGCTGTTTTAGGTGAATATCACATTGGTCACAACAGTACTTTTTATTATTTTACATATGCTCCTAATAGCAGAGGCTTTAGAACCATACATCTGTGTTGTATTTTTGGTTCCAACACTTCCTTGTGAGTGATATTAGGAAGTCTCAAAGCCTGGACTTTCTTGTCCATAGAATGAAGGTAATACAAAATTGATCCTAGGTAGGTAGTATGAGCTAAACACATGGTAGTTTGTGTCATTTTTACATTATAATTTCAAACAAAGCACAGTACTATTTGTCAGTGGTATTTTTTTAGAGGCAACTTATACCAAAACACAAGAAATGAATTGTCTGTAATGATGGCCTAGTAAATTCCTGCCTTGTTGCTAGTAGAGGAGAGTTCTTTCTGGAACAATTTGCGGGTACCTTTTTTCTTTAAGTGTATGTCTTTTAAGAAATGCTGCATTATATGGAAATTACTAAACTCAGAACATACCAAGTTTTTACAGAAGCTGGAAAAAGCTAACATTAGGTATACAAAAAAAGCATTCCTTAGACTTGCTTTCTTTAATAGATTAAATTCTTATAGAGCAAGTAAATTTCTGTCTTACAAGTTAACCATATAAAATCTAGGCACCTCTCCTCAAAATACATGTTCACATTGCATTTTAAATTAGAGAAAGCTCACTTTCACTTGTCCAAATTGACTGCATCTTGCTTACTATACTAGGCCAAGGCTTTTGAATGGATACTTGGCACAAGAAAAGAGGAAAAGAACTTATGAAAATGTCTTGGTGTTATATATAGGCCATAATTCACTATTACTAATGCTTTAAAAAAACTGAGTCACAGACAGCATTACTGACAAAAAACTTTTTTTAACCTAAGTTCCTCATCAGTTTGTATAAAAGCAATTCTAACAGAATAAATGACCTTGGTATATTTAAAAATCCTTAATTCATTCCCTCATTCATACATTTCAGTATGCACTCTATGGTAGGTGCTATGGCAGGTACACAAAGATCTTCAGTCTCCAGGAGTTTTAACCCCTGATAGAAGTATGAGGCTTAAGGGTCAAACTAGACATTGCTTCTGCCCTCTCAGAGGCCTGAAAGAAGCCTGTGGGACTGGAGGCACAGGGATAGCACTGAATACCTGACAAGAAGCCACAGGTTCTCCGTATCAAAGGCATACTACACTATGGATACCAGCCAGTGGGGCCCCTACACTTGGGCCTCTCCCATGGAACCCCTGACCTGTATAATCGCTTAGTAAAGACAAGGAAGGGATTCAGATGGTGATCCTATGTTGTCCAGAACCTAGATGATGGGAACTTTAAGACAAAGCTCCACACAAAGATGAAAGGAACAAGCAAGAGAACCTAAGTTCCCAGTTGCTCCAAAAAGGTCCACAGTCTAGAAGCTTGAAAGTCCAAGATCGAGGTGCTGGCTGGTCTGATGTCTCATAAAGTCTCTCTTCCTGGATCGTAGACTCTGTTTTTACACTGAAAGCGACCATGGGAGATAGGATAAGGGATATCTATGGAGTGTCTTTTTTAAGAGACGTATAGGGAAAAACTGAGTTTCTTAATTTTGTATTAACTACTTTTGAAGAGGAATTTTCACTCAAAAGGCTAATCAGCTCTTTGTTCTGCTTCTGTAGATATGCTTGCTGCATAGGCCATACTCGAAATTAACTAAAGACTCGTCTTCCCTTTTGCTTGTTCTAAGCAACAAATGTAACTGCCTATAAGAACTTGTGTTGTAGTCGCCAGCCCCCGATAGACACCGATAGACACACGGACCACCAGAAATCAGTGAGTTATAAGAAACACACCCTATTCAGCCAGCTGGGCCTGCCAGGGGTACGCAGACCCCAAATTAAGCAGCCCTGAAATGTAGAGGTACAGGGTTTCTAAGCCCTAAATCCCTATTCTTCATCCTGTTTGAACACACAAGTCTATTTTTCTTCTTTGTACTAACTGTCAACCTACAGGTCGGTTATGCAAGTGTGGGGTACAGAAGCAGAAAGCTTATTTGTTAGAGCGTTATGTTCCCATGGGTGATAGCCAAACAGTAATTTTCCAGCCAGCACACTAGCAACTCCTGCACTTTGTAACTCTTTATAACTGCCTGCAACCCATAGCAACTCCAATGCTTTGTAACTATCCGAGGACAAATTAACCAATCAGCCCATGCCAAATAAGTTCTACATAAGGAATGCTTCAGTGGAGCTCTGGGCCCAGATATTCAGAGTGCTAGTTCCTCTGGGACCGTCGGCATAATAAAACTCTCGAGAGCTGCTTGGTTTCTCGCCAGTCTGATTTTTGCAACTTTTCCGGAACACATTCATATACTCCTTTTAATCACTTTTTATTAACTGCTTCCAAAAACCGTAACAAGTGCAGGAATAGATTGATGATATCCAAGTAGAGGTTGATGGCAGCTAATACATACTCTTCAGGTGACAGCTGATGCATCAGTGAGTGCATGTCATAGACAATGAATCCACAGAAAAGAAGGGCTCCTACAGCAGCCAGGACCAATTCCACTGTCTCATTATAAAAAAATAACTGTAGGCAAAAGATTAAAGTAACAAGTTTATATTTAAGAGAAGTATTAATAATAAAGTTACTGGCTCTTAAGTTACATATACTACATACATATGTAATAATGCTGTATAACTATAAATAGAAATGTTAAAAGCAGAAAAAAGCAAAGCCGGTTTACCCTTGCTTATGTAGGAAGAAAGGATGAATGGATGAATCAATGGCTATCCCTCTCTCTATTAAATTATCCACTTGACTTTGAACAGTAGCATTCCAAGTATAAACTATTTCAAAAAGTTTTTTTTTCAGAATTACATGTGCTAATTGGAGGTTAGCAATTACAAATACGGCCTTCTATGTATTTTAACTCATTTGTTCATTCATCTTTTTTTCAATAAATAATATTAACATAAGATCTTGCTTTTTTGAAAGATAATTATCATTCCATACACAAATGTTCCAGATAATTATAACTAAGTGTCCTATCATAAGAGTATACCTCTTATAGCTTTCTGAGATTATTTATATAGACATAGCCAGAATTATATTTCAAGTTATCTTTCTAAAACAACTCACCTTCAAGATTCCTGACAAGCACAAAATCCACAAAACAGCAAACAGTCTGTAAAAACAAAATAATGATATTGTTCCTTACAAAAACTTTGTAAACTCATTCAAATATTTCCTGAAGAAGTAAATCCATCCTGATATTTGTGAAAGAATAATTGAAATATAAGAATTCATAAACATACAATGAATACTGTAGAATACCCGGAAATTGAAAGAACAGCTCTCTATTCAACATTTGTTTTTGTGGTGTACAAACTCACTAAGAGTAACATTTTTTTAAGTTTTCAATTAGAACACACAAAAATATTGATATAAGTACTCTCTACTTTATTCTGATGTATAATAGTACTTAATTATGTACATAAATTTACCACTGCTATAATTTTATGAGCTGACTAAATGCTGCTTTAGACCCCAAGTAAGTACAAAGGCCAAATTTATCCTCCCTCCTTAAATAAAAACCAGACAAAATATTAGAAACAATCATTTTCAGACACTAGACAGAAAGCAGCACAGGACAGTGATTCCTGAGATAAGGGAAACAAAGGAGATGAGCTCTACAACTAACCCAGGTAAAGAGAGTTTCCAGGCCACAGTGTAGGGACAGGAAACCATGTGGACTCTTGTGGTCTCCTTGAGTATGAGGAGATAAGAATTACAGGTTGAGAGAGGCCAACGTGGCTCGAATTTGCTGGGCAAAGTTACAAAGAGGAGAGCTCTGATGACATGCAGAGGATTCCCCTCAAATCTTTAGCTGAGTACTGATCAATGCATACATGTGAGGAAGTGGCAAAGGCTGGGAAAGAACCACCATAGAGAAGCTAGCCAAACAATCCTCAGAACTCACACAAGGCCAGGAATAGTTCACATTCACCCCAGCCAGAGTGCAAAGACCTTCGAGGACATGGGGGCTTTGAGTAGTCCTCAGAAGGGTACTATCTCAATAGTGTGGCCAAATTAGCCTTAAACCAAAAGCTGTTTTGGATCCACCTAACAGAGTTTAAAAACAAGCCTCAAAAGGTTCAGACAATTTCTAAGGAACTTAGCTGCTTCCTAGAAGAAGAAAGCCAAAAATATTTAAAAGAAAAACAGCAGACTTCTTGTCAGAAACTACACATGCCAGAATGCAGTGGAGTGACATCTTTAAATACTAAAAGCAAGAAAAAAAAGAACCCCAAACCTAGACTCCTATACCCAGCAAAACTAACTTTAAAAAAAAAAAAAAGCTGAGACCAACAGACCAGCACCATAAGAAATGTTAAGAGGAAATCCCTTGGGCAGAAGGAAATAATAGATGGAAATTTGGATCTACACAAAGAAATGTAGAACAGAAATATGTTGATGAACATAAAAGACTTCATCTATATTTTCTTTTTTAATCTATATTTTAAATTTCTTAAAAAGATAATATCGAACATGGTTCCATAGTGTAGCGGTTATTAGCACATCAGCTTTACACGCAGCTGGGTTCACGCCTCAGTGGAGCCACGGTCTATGGTCTACGGCCATGCCACCCTGAACAAGCCTGATGTCTGATCTCGGAAGCTAAGCAGGGTTGGGCCTGGCTAGTACTTGGATGGGAGACCACCTGGGAAGACCAGGTGCTGTAGGCATAAATAATGAAAAAGAGTAATAATAGAAAAAAAAAGATAATTTAATGTTCAAAGCAAAATTAATGACAATGTATTATGAGGTTTATAGCACATGTAGAACTAAAATCTATGGCACAAAGGGGAGAACAGATTTAAGTGTACTACACATGAAATGGTATAGTATTTGTTGATAGACTTAATGATAATTTAAACATGTATACTGTAAAATCTAGAACAACCTCTATTTAAAAGAGCTGTAGCTATTAACCAGTAAGGAATATAAATGGAATCAAATACTCGATCCAAAAGAAGGAAGGAAAAGAGAAAAAAGGAATAAGAAATAGATAAGACAAACAGAAAAAACAAATGGCAAGATGGTAGGCTTAAACCCAACCATATTAATAATCACATTAAATGTAAGTGGTCTAATGATACCAATTAGTAGCAGAAATAGTCAGATTGGATTTTAAAAAGCAAGATCTCACTATATGCTGCCTACAAGAAAACTGCTTTAACAATAAAGACACAAATAAGCTAAAAATAAAAGGAAAAAAAAAAAGATATACCACGCTAAAACAATCAAAAGAAAGCCAGGGTAGCTACATTAACAAAGCATATTTCAGGGCAAGGACATTACCGGGGGTAATCCCTTCATAATGATAAAGGGGTCATTAAAAGGCTATGACAATCCTAAATCTTCATGCATCTAAAACTAGAGCTTCAAATAACATGAATCAAACTTATAGAACTGACAGGAGAAATATACCAATTCACATTTGCAGTTGGAGAATTTGACATCACTTTTATATTAATTGCTAGAATAAGCAGGCAGAAAATTAATAAGCATACTGAAGACTTGAACAGTAAGTACTATTAACCAATTTGACCTAATTGACATTTATTAAACACTCATCCAATATTAGCAAAATATACATCTTCTAGTGCACAAAGAACATTTACCAAGATACCACAAAACCTCAATAACTGTAAAAGGACTTAAATCATAAAAATGTTATATAACAACAGAATTAAATCAGAAATTAAATATACATTTATATTATAACCCAGTTTGGTGAACTGAGGGCATGGTGAGATTCCAGCCCTCAGTTCTCTTGCTGGATACATGTAGCATATCTACATTAGATGAAGTATCTTGCCACCTCATAGTATAGATCTTTCAGGATTTAAAGGGACTCAGGACTTGCTTTTTCATACTTAAATCCTAAAGAAACTCCAAAGCTTCTGTGCCAAGAAGTATGGTAAGGTAGGATTAAGAACTGTAGAGCATCTGAGATTTTACCTTACTTGCAAGTGAAGAAGTTAGCCTGGCACAATTTCATGGATACTAACAGAAGATATGTGACTCCTAGGTCTGAGGTGAAAAACAGTTTATTTCAGCAGTAGATGAAGAACAGGCATAGTAGATAGGTGTTATGGGAATAAAGAAATGAGAGAGCTAGAAGGATAGAAGATTGAAGAAAGAAAAGTGGGACGCTGGCATTAAGATTTCAACAATGGAACAGTCCTTAGTGATGACAAGGTCCACAGTGGCCATGGCAGGGAAATGAAGGTTGCTGAAGTAGAAAAGGTCCAGAGATATTAAGAGGCCAAGGTGATGGATGGGCCTAACATGTAGTTTGGTGCTAAAGTCCTTAAAGAATGAGGGAGACTTGATCCAAAAGAGAATCAATGTCAGTAATGAGGAAAGGTAGGAAGTATATAACCAGAAAACATAAGCCTTAAAGCAATGAATTTTCACCACGCTGAAGGAATAATGAAAGTAGCACTAAGGAAGTAGTTTTCAATAGTAACCCAGCCACCCAAGGCTACATAGAGTGTGGAAGAATAAATGGCTAGAGAAAAGTATTCTCAGAGAGGAATCGAGTTTCAGCTGATAAGAGAGAACGTATTACGAAGAGGCTGAAATATAGAGGAAACTATCAGAACAGGAATTCTAGAGACTATAGTAGAATGGATGGGAAGGAGGCAAGCAATTGGAGATTGGGATGGGAAGAAAAAGAGAGTAAATCTTCATATATACCACACAAATATGTACGAAACATCCCTCTCCACAAGGAAACGTATAAAAAATGTTGCCTCTCCCTAAATCAAGCTCCATTCTAATAAAACCATTTATGCGTCTTGCACAATTATCAGTGTTGGCTAACCAACTATATTTTATCCCAATAGAGATTTCTGGTAATCTGGATTACCAGAAAAAAAAAGGAGGGGAGGAAAGGAAGTTTTGCAAGAGTAGACTTTTGTAAATTTTTAGTGTTGTAACAAGAAAAAACAAAATGGTTGGTGATTATGTGGCAACAGGAAGCCTTCTTGAGCTTACAAAAGTGTCTGCATTCTTACCAGGTAAGGACAACACAGTACCATTATCTTAATACAAAAAGGATCATTCCATGTACCTATTAGTTTGAAGAAAAATACAGGTTAATACAGATAGATCAAAAAGCTTTTAAGGTTCAGGTAGACATCTCCAACACCTCACTTTCACCACAAAGATATGATCTTGGTAACATTTATGTTAAGACAAAGAGCTAAACAATTTGGGCAAATTCCATACTGTTCATAAAGCATACAAGCCTAGCCTCTCTAGAAAGCTGATTTTTTTTTTCTTTTTTTTTTTTTTTTTGGCATTCGTTCCTTTTCAATATAGAGGGGAAACAAAGGATTAGAAGCCACTTCTCATCTCATTATATGTTCTGGGAGGTTAGGGCCTGGCCTCAAAATTCAAAGAGATGACCTTCTATTACTCACTGTAAAAGGCTGTATCCAAAGCTAACAGTACAGCACTTCTATCATAACTACCTATAATATTAAAGATATATCTATGATAGCCACAAATATATAACTTACCCTGCTCCAAATTTGCTGAAATCTCTTTTAGATTGCAGAGTATATACAGTCAAACCAAGAATTACTGCAGTAGTCAGTATAAAAGCTTGTAGAATGATATATACATCATAGAAAGTAACTGTAAAATTAAAAAACACTGATTAAGAATACATATAAACATACACAATATAAAAAAGCTTTTTCTGGGATTTAGTTTCAATGCTTTATTTTCTCCTGTACTACTTGACAATAAAAACAATTATGAAAAGATTCCTTATTCAGCCTTGAATATTGATTGGTACAGTAAAACCAAACCCATAATGCAATAAATAGGCTCCAAAATCTTCATTCATACAAAATAAGGAGGTCACATTATTATCAAGTCAAAGAAATGACTGGAAAGATATGACACAGCCAGCCAGTGAGAAGTTTCTGGGATATGCCATAACGGTTCTCACCCAATCCCTGTTCCAGCTGCGGTTTATCACCACCTGTAGCGATTACCCACTATGACTTAGATATCAGTAGGGATGATTCTGGCTCCTGTGGCTGGCTGGGAAAGCCTGGATGGTATGCAGTTATTCTAGCAATCACTTGGTTAACTGCACCCAGTCCATCAGCCCAAATCAATGAAATTAGGCAAGAAAAGTATTGGGGCTGTCTGGTGTTACCTGACATTCACCGACCCTGCAGAGAACAGAAAACCACTATCTGCTTTCTATCCAAATCCGCGTTACCTTGGAGTACATTACTGGGGTTTTATTGAATATATACCAAATTCTCTCTCATAATTTTAGAATGACCTTCTGGATTGACTATGGCTGTTGTAATATAACTGTTTAACATTTTAAGAGAACGATAAGTTATAACCTCTTTAAAAGAAGTCCTTTGAACCCAAAACCATTTAGTAATTTTTAACTTTTTAGGGACTAATTATCCAAGTTCTTTCTATTCCTAAATGCCACATTATTGGAATTTCTCTATTTATGCTGTTACAGGATTAGGAAAGTGAACACAGGAAAGATAAAACGTGAAATTACTTTTGCTTCTTGTCAGTAATTTTGGTTTAAAATTAGATGGAAAAGATATTATAATTAATGAGGAAAGTGATGTTCTCAGATCACCCCATCTATGTATTTCTACCTCCAATTCCTATAACCCTGAAATAAATAAATCCTACATATCTCACAAACGGTAGGAGCTGGGGAGGGCTGAGATGGAATTGATAATAACATTAATAGTAAGTAACATTAATAGATAACAATGCTAACAATAAGTAAATATTAATACTTCATCCTACGTTAAGAAATTTCAATCCTGTTTATTTTAGTAGTTACTATTATTTACTTACATTCTAATTTGTTTATAAAAGGAAGAAGTGATGACCAAAGAATACGTAGATTCAATAAAACTGGCACAGAAAGGTTAAAAAGCACTGACAAAATTGGATGAGATAAACATATTAGCCATAAATATTAACAGTTTACTGTTATTGAGAGTAACAGTTAATGCTACCCTGTTTGATACCCCAGATTAATTATTTTGAGACCATTACAATTTTTATTGTTAATAAATCATGGCATTTTTTACTGGAGGCATTACGTAGGGTACATCAAGTAATTAGACTCTTCCTTTCAAACACATATTTAACACCAAATGCAAAACAGAAATTACTCATTTCTTGTAGAGCCAATTTGATAATATATGAGGAAATAACAATAAAGCACAGTTCAAAGTAGGCAATTCAAGAGTGAGCTTGTGATGAAAATATATGGTTCAATATATATGGTATCAGCTTCTCTACGATCACTTTAAGTTAGGAAAAAGATTAGCTATGGTTGTCTTATTTTTATAAATGCATAAACACAAATGAATATTTTTGTCCATTCCTATTGTTTTTCTAATTCTTTTCCTCTAAGCTCAGTTGAACTATATAAAGTATAAACATTTAATTTTTGCTTATATTAGAAATTTTTTAACGTATGCCATATTTTTAAAATGACATTCCATGACATTAAGCTTTAGCTCCAAATACCTTTTTACCCAGAATACTTATCCACATTATAAAGTAACTGTAGCATATAGAAGCACAATTATGGCTTACCAAGAGTGGCCACACTCAGAGCTTCCAACAGTGTCTAAGAAAAAGAAATTAAAATTACATAAATGCACATAAAATGTATACTATGTCATGTACATGTTCTAATTTCTAGGAGTTCAATGTGATTCCATATACATGATCTCATTTTAGCTTCATGACAGCCTTGTGCAGTACGTGACAAATAATAAGCCCACTGTAATGAAAATGAGACCTCAATGTATTGAATGAGAATATTTAGCTTCTAATTGTGATCCCAGCACTCAAACTCTAAATTTTTTCTATCTGTAACAGGAAGATTATAGAAATAATACAGAAAATTAGTTTTCTCACTGTATAATGTAAATAAAAATGAAATTGCATATCATGTGCACATTTATAAAAACTTAACTATCTCACACAAACAGGAATATTAAATATTAATATTGAATTACTAATGATTAATTTAATATTAAATATTTAGGTAGTACTTTGGTGTGGCAGTCTTAAAACTGTCTCCCAATATTCAATCTCTCTTTCATCCCAAGAAACAGAATTTTTACCTGGACAAATAGCTGCTCAGATTAAACATTACATTTTTCAGTATCCCTTGCAGCTAGATTTGGCCACAGGACTATATTCTAGCAGAGATGTGCACAACTTTTAAAAGCAAAGAGGCTTGCTCTCCCCTTTCTCTTTTTATGTTTTTAAAATAATTGGATGGCATGTGGATGTGTTAGTGAGCATCTTATACCATGCAACACTTTAGAAAAGTCCACCATAGCAGGTGCCTAGGCCCCTGACAACTTCACTAGTCATTAATATCACTGACATGAAAGAGAAATAAACCATTGTTTAAGCCATTGTTACTTTGTCATTGTTTAAGCCATGTCACAAGTAGCTGAACTCATACCCTAAATAAAAGATTTAGGGATATTGAGCTTTATCCTCTAGCTTCTCTTTCCTCCTGATTAGATATCTTTATTTTGTTTTATATGCTTACTCTAGTTAGAGTTTATCAACCATCTGAGAGACCATATCATAAAAGCAAAGCCAGAAGTAACAGCAGTGGCTGTATAATCATAATCATGCAGAAGCATTCCCTATAAAACTCCCCTACCTGAAATCAACAAATCATCAGAACCAGAGCAAAAATGGTATTAAAAATGGTACAGAGATGTGGAGGCAATAAAGGCACTGCCAAATTTGTTATAATGTTGTTAGTAGTGTCAGGGAAGTGGTAGCAAAAGATGACAAATATTTTTGGGGGGCAATATGATTATACTACGTCCTTGATATTTGTGACATGATTTTAGGTAAGAAATCCTACCCCATACATACTAAAGTATCTGAAGGAAAAAGAACAGTATAAGCAGGAGAAAAGATAAGACTAGGAAAACAATACCATTACAAAATGCCCCCTTTTAAATGTGTGTATACACACTCATGCACACAAGCATACATACATGCCTCATAAGGCGAGGTAAGCTCCACCTCCTTATTTTGGTGGCATAGGACAAAATAATCTAGAATCAGAGGTCTCTGAGTAATGTGGAATGCATTTTACATAGTTCCTTATTTGTTAAACCATTCTTAGCTATGGGCATGATCAATAGTTGTAACAGTAAGTGAGCATCTTGCCCATAGCATTTGATGCTTTTCTAGTGGGTCTTCTCCCCACTGGGCAAAAGTTGGTCCATACCATTTTCCCACAAAGAAATCAATCATAGTATTTCTAAAAGGAGGCTGGCTATATGTAGAGCTGAAGAGGAACTCCATATCATTTTGTTTCATTTTGTACTTCCTCTTTCTCTCTTAGGACACAGATGACTAGGACAGAAGTTAGCATCTAACCCAGGGGCTGCCCACCCATATATTGGCTAACAACCTACAATGTGATCTGTTAATTAGCTGTGCCAATCAGATTCTTCCTCACATAGGAATCTAAACTCATGAGAATGAAGCAATAGTAGCAGGAGCTAAAGCTAAAAGGTTAATGAACCACATGAGGCCCACAATGAGCCGTGTAAAAAACAAAGATAGTAAAGGAGAGAAAACTATGTGTAAGGACAGCTGTGAGGTAGAAAGAGATGTAATGGATGAAGGGTGAAGAGACCACAAATTCTTGCTATTAAATTCCTATAATAGCATCATTTCTAGAATTTTCCTCTAGTTCCTTTTATTCTTGAGGCCTGGTGGGTTTGGGTTGCTGGATTCCTAAGCTCTTATATCTTTAAAATAAATTCGCTGCTACTTGAGATAACCTGGGTTTAGGGTTTTGATACCTGAAAAACAGACCAGCCAAAGATTTAAATGAATAACCTTCCCTATAACTGAAATTTCCAAAGTCATGAGCTTTTCTTTCATCATATTAACGTAAACTTATCAGAATTCATAAGCTTTCTTTGAAGTATTTTAATCTGATAATTAGCATTTAAATCTTATTTGACCATAAATATTCTTGATATTATCAGTTTGAAATGTTCTGAAGCCAATTTTTAGGTCAGAACCCAAATCATATTGGATATGAGAATGGGAAAAATAATTTTAAAAATATGTAACTTTAGCCTTACCAACGCATTCTGGTCATATTCGAAGATTGAGTTTTTATAGGTAGTAGTCTGGGTTTTAATATTCACAAATATCTCAACAAATGACTTAAACTTGAGTTCCCCCAACTATGATTTTGAAACAGTTAGTAAAGCACATCAGTTGGAAAAAAAAGGTCCTTTAAAAGAATAAAGTCATAAGATAAAAATAACACTGAGGAGTTAATCATAAAGATTTCAACTTAAGGCCTATGAAATTAAGGCCACAATATAATTTTTTCCCAAGAAAATCACAGAATATTAGGGGTATAAAGTATTACGGGGATAATCTACTTTAATATTTTCATTTTACATTGGCTACAGAAAGGCTAAATGCCCTGCCAAATGTCACATAACCAGACAGTGGCAAAGCCAGGTCATATGATTCCAATTCATTATTTTTTCCACTATATCATAATATTGACAGCAAAAAAATCACAAAGTTTAAAAATTCTTACAGACTAGGAGATTTCAAGTGCTTTTTTAAATATTCAAATTTTTTAAAATCATTAATTCTGCTACTCATGTATATATGCATTCAATTAAATAAATAAATTTAAAACTCAGGAATAAATGTTAAAGGAACAGATATTGTCAAAATACTCACAAATCCAAAAAGCAGGTACAGGTTAAGGGGATGCTTATGTCTATTTAAAGTCAATGCTGGAATGAAACCCAAAGATCCAACTGCAAACACCAAAAGTAAGGCAGGACTGAAAGACAAAATTAAAAGCAGTTTCAAGTTTTAAAATAGCATAAATAGTATTATCCAATTTAATAAAATGTGTCTATTGTATGGATTTATGAAAGTACAGAAAAATAAAATTAAAAGGAGCCACATCAAACTGTCAAATTATTTTTCCGTCTGAGAAATTTGAGGAGTGTGAGGTGGGCAGGAACAGCAAGACAAAGAGCTCACAGTGAATGGGGAAGATTTCTCTTTACTTCGTGAACTTCTATCATATTTGAATAATTTTGGCAATTAGCATGCTGCTTTTTTTTAACTAAAATACAATAAAGAAAGGCTATTAAATAATAAACAAATTTTATACCTAACTACTTTTTTAGGGTATTCACTGTACCTGTAATTTCAATTAAAGAACTTTGCCCCAAATAGCAAACTAATAATTCAAGATTCCCCTTCGGCAGGGAGAAAGAGGATAGAAATTGTCTACTCCTAAGAAAATACTTATTTCTTATTTTTCTTTTCCTTTAATATAAAGAATCTGTATTATTTTTAGCCATGGAAATAATTGTTTTGAAGGTCATATCTTAAACAAACTGGATGAATCATATGGAGCTACTTTCAAAACATTTCAGTGAAATCATCCTAGTCATGAGCCAACACTAAGGTAAATTAAACACATATTTATTAAGTACCCTTATTTTTCAAGCACTCTCTTAGGCTTTGGAGACAGGACATAAATCTGATAAAAGTAAAATAATTAAGACTTAAAAAAACTGCACATAGTAAAAATTCTTACTACTCCAAGAGATAAGGGTTTAACCCTTACAAAACTGTAAGCTAAAGCGTTCAGAGGTAAATACTATGTTGTAGAACATATTCCTTATCAAAACAAAACTAATCTTATTTACAAGAGTTAATAATAAAACTTTTTACATTGTAACACCAAAAGTTAACAGAAAAAAAGACCTTTGCTTATAATATGCCGTTTTGATCATACGCAGTGGCTGAAAATGATTCAGAATCATCTTACCTTCCATGTACAAATGTCCGTATAGACTCAAAGTATAAAAAAAATGCAGATGTCACTGTAGTTAAGAGAACTTGAAAAGAAAGGATGCTGTAGACTTTTCTTAGAAAGGCTAAAAGAGAAAAAAAAAATACACATGACTATTAAACATTTATCATAGAACAGCAAGATCAAATTTCTTCTTAGAAATATTAAATTTTTATATGTGTTCTTTCTTAAATCTTAATCCAAATAATGTAGTCTATAACTAAAACTTAAAAAAAGAAAATGCTTCCTAAGAAATAAAAATTTGTAAGTGGTAACTATCCTCCAAGAAGCATGAACTTAAAAAAAATTAAATTAATGCATCAGAATATAAATGTTTTCATCAAAATAAAAAAGTACTGAATGCATGTTTGAAACAGCAACATACAACAAAACAAAGATTAAAAACAACATTTTCAAACAATTCTATCTTGAAACTGAAATGTAGGCATAGAAAGCATATGGTTACATGTAAACTTATTACACGTAAATTTATAAAGAAATCTTAATTTCCATGTAGTATAAATTTTCCCTTTAAAAGGCAAACAATATATAAACTTACTTTCACTCACCTATTTTATTTCTCTTATAGTACCTCTGACTCTAGTTTCTGTACAATAAGAAATTCTTACTTTTAGAATATTTTATCAACATCCATAAATTAACTCCAAGGAAGACTTTAATAAAAGTCTTCCAATACACAAATAATATAAATAATACACTGAACATCCAACTCACGAGTTTCAGAAATAAAACATTAACACTTCTTACCTCCTCTATGTAAACATACAGACAATAACATCCTTCTCCCCTCACCCCCTTAACTAACTGCTAATTATCTTTAAAGATTCAGCCTTTCTCACTTCTCCAATCTGAATTAAATGTTCTTCCTCAAGTTCCCAAGGGACCCTAAATATACTTCTAATCACTTTATTTTATAATTGATAAGCCTACTTGTCCTTCACTCCCATTCAACTACTAAGACTAAAAGTTCTCTAATATGAAACATGTCTTATTCACATTCATACCACTAGCACCCAGCCAAATAAATTTATATCGAATTAATGAAAGGTAAATTTAGCCAGTTAGGGAAAGGAAGAATACATACCAGAGTGTTAATAATGGTTTTCTTCGGGCAGTATGGCTGAGGACAATTTTCATGTTCGGCTCTTTGCGAATCTATGTTTTTTTATATATCACCAATAAATATTACTTTTGTAATAAAAAAACATTTTATAGATACCTGTGCTAAGGCAATAAATTCATCATAAAACTAATCCTTATGCAGATATTCCAGATCACTGCTTTTTCTATACTCTTTAAAAATGAGACCTTAAATCAAATCCCAGGAAAAAGCAATATTTGACACTGATTTTGAATAATATAAAAAGTGGCAAAGGATATACACAGACAAATAACAGGGGGAAATAGAGTATTGACTATGAAAAGAAAATAAGCCCAAGAGCAATATCTTCTGATTTTTTTTTTTTTTTTTTGAGTTCTGATTTCTCTCCTCCTTGACATCTCAAACCAAACAGCCAAAACAGGAACTCTTCACTCCTATCCAAATCTGTCCTTTTCTCAGTCTTCTCATCAGTAACCAGCATGAACATCCACCAAGCTAAAAATGTAAGCGTCATCTCTGATTACCCTCCCTCTTCGCAAACTACCACCAACTACCATGGCTTCTACTTGCAAAGTAGAACATATGCACCTCTTTTGTCCATCTGTTACCTTTTCTAGTCAAAAACTATGTGATCTTGCACCTGGACTATTAGATTAGCCTAAATGGTCTCCATGCTTTCACTCTTGTCCCACCTAATTCATTTTCCACAGACAGAGCTGTCAGAGTGATCTTTTTGTGAAATAAACCATATCCTGTGACTTTTAATGGTTTCCCTCACACTTAGAATACAATTTAAAAGCTTTTATGGGGGTCTACAAGGCCCTGCATGATATAGAACCTTTCCAACTTCATCTCATACCACTCTTTCTTTTCCTCACATCCTTTGCCCACACTAGCCACCTTTTCTGTTCTCCAAATGCCAAATCTTTCCTGCTTCTGGACCTTTGCCCTCTGCCTAGAATGCCCTTATCCTTCTTTCTGTGGAATGGTGATTTAAAATATGTCTACAATTTTTGACATTCAAGTGACTCACTTCTAAAAAAAGAATCAGGCGGAAGTAGCAGTGTGTATTTTATCTAATGAACTGAACCTTAATAAGAATCACAGAAGACCCACGAAGTTTTTAAAATAATTTTATTGGCAAAAATACCACCAAATTATGCTTGTCGTACTACTGGGTGTTGGGTATGTAGGTATAATTTGTCTCCTTTTAGTTCCAAAGTCTTCAAGAGGGTCTCGGCTTGCATGTAGAAGAAAATTAGTAATAATTTGTGGACAGAGAGAAGACTGTGGTGGCTTAAAATATGACTACCTTCAAAAGATGGAGACTAAACCCCTCCCCTTGAGTGTGGGCTGCTTAGTGACCGGCTTCTAATAAACAGAATAAGGGAGATGTAATGGTGTGTGTGATTACCATGACAAGATTATAACAGGCACTGCAGCTTCCTCATTGCTCTCTCACTTGCTCTGGGGGAAGCCAGTCACCATATCATGAGGACACTCAAGCAGCCCATGGAATGAGTCATGTGGCTAGGAACTGGGGCCTTCTGTGTACAGCCATAGCAGATCCTCCAGCCCAGTCAAGCCTTGAGCTGACTGCAGCCCAGCCCACATCTTGACTGGAATCTGTGAGCCAGACAGAACTACCTAGCTAAGCTACTTCCAGATTCCTGACTCAGACACTATGTGAGATAATAACTATTTGTTGTTTTAAGCTATTAAATTTTGAGGTAATATTTTATAAAGCAATAGATAACTAATACACCCGCTAGCTCCTTCTCATACTACATAACTGCCATCTCCTTTCCATGACCATTCTTTAAAATAGCTGCCACTTTAAACCCTAGGGTCTATTCTATCACTGTTTTTTTTCTTCAGAGAACTTATCACAGCTAGTAGTCTGTATGCTTAGCTCTTTAGAATCTGTCTCCCCCGCTCCCCCAAATGATAACTTTTGAGGACTAAAATATTGTCTGATCACTGCTATATCCTTAATATCAGTACAAAGCCCAGTAAAGTTTTGTAAATAAAGGAAAATGCTCATCTTTGCTCACATAGCTAAAGAAATGCAAATTAAAACATGATAACATTTGTTACCTACCACACTATGGCCCATGGACTGAATCCAGTCCACCAATTGATTTTGTACGTAAAGTTTTACTGGGCACAGCCACACTCATTTATGTGTCCTCTACAGCTGCTTTTGCACTACAATGGCAGAGCTGAATAGCTGCGACAGAGATTTTCTTACCCCCATAAAGCTGAAAATATTTAATATTTGGCCCTTTGTAGAAAGTGTTTGCCAACCCCTGATCTACCAGACTGCCAACTATTAAAAAGCTTGATGATACTCAGAGTTGGTGACAGTACAAAAAAGGTACCCTCATATATTTTTTTGCTGGAAAGTCAAAGGTTCACTCTCTTTAGAGGGTAGTTGATGATATCAATCAAATTTAAAATATATGTACTCTTTTGACCCCATAATTTCACTTCTAAAAATGTACCCTAGAGCAATACTTGCAGAAATTCACAAAGATATGGATGGATGTTTCCTGAAGCACTATTTGAAGGAGTAAAAAGAAAGAAAAGTAACCTAAATAAAAAGAAAGAAAACAACCTAAATATCCATCAAAAGGGGATGATTAAATTAGTTATATTATGGAAGACCACTGCAATTAAAAAGAAATATATTAAGTGAAAATACAAAGTTGCAGAAATGTATAATATAATCCCATTGATTATAACATGCTCCTGCCTCTATAAAATAGTATTTTAGGGTTTCAAAAATATACATAAAGCATACTACTAAAAGACTCCTTTAATAGACTATCATATATTACATATATATTATAACTAGTTATATAAACTAGCTTAATGGGCACTGTAAAAGTGCTCAGGGTAGACACTGTACTCAGAAATTCCCCCCAAAATTTTCTGTAGCTTCATGATTATTTTTCACCAACAAGCCTTGACATTTTTTTTTCCATTTTTGAACACTCCTCTTTATTTTTTTTAATTTTTAATTAAGTTTATTGGGGTAACATTGGTTAATACAATTATATAATTTTCAGGTGTACATTATCATTTGACATCTGTATATTGTATTTACCACCCAAAGTCCAGTTTCCTTCAGCTACCATATATTTAATCCCCTTTACCCACTTCACCCTCCCCCTAAACCCTATATTTGACTCCCTTTACCCCGTCTACCTCACCCCCCCCACTAGTAACCACTAGTCTATAGTCCATGTCTATGAGTCTCTATTTGTTTGGCCTGCTCATTTGTTGCTTATCACCACATATAAGTGATAAAATGTGATTTTCTACTTTTTCTGTCTGGCTTATTTCGCTTAGCATCATTATCTCGAGGTCCATCCAGGTTGTCGCAAATGGCAGTATTTCATCTGTTCTTATGGCTGAGTAATATTCTATTGTATAAATGTACCACAGCTTCTTTTAGCCAATCATCTATCGTAGGACACTTCGGTTGCTTCCATGTCCTGGCCACCGTGAATAATTCTGCTATGAACATCAGTGTGCAAATATCTTTTCGGATATGGGTTTTCAAGTCTTTGGGGTAAATACCCAGTAGAGGGATTGCTGGATCATATGGTAGATCAATTCTTAGTTTTTTG